TCAGATACAGACAAGGGAATCAGTCCTAAGACCACGTCATACACAGTGACAATCACTTATGGTAACAAGCGAGAAACATCTTAAATAAACAACACAACAATGCACCTCGAGGCTCCAGACAAGCAAGAGGACAACCCCAAACACAAAGATGGCAGAAAATAATAAAGACTGTGGAAGAAAATAACGATACAGGGTTTAAAGGGCAATACCAATGTCAATCAATGTGTTGGTTCTTTGAAATAGTTAGTGAGACTGATTAGCTTCTAGCTAAACTGGCAAAAATAAAGAGGGAGAAGACCCATATTAATCAAACTATAGGAAAAAATTATTAAAACAGACTCCAGTGAAATCCAGAACATCATTAAAGAATGCTTTGCGAATATATACTCTAAAAAGCTAGAAAAATCTAAAAGAAAGATAAATTTCTAAATACATATTATCTGTCAAAATTAAAAGACAGAAGATATAGGTAATTTAAATAGTCCCATTACAAGTAATGAGATTGAAGCTGTAATCAATGTCTCCATACAAAGAAAAGCCTAGGGTAACCTGAAGTCACTGCTGAATTCTATCAAATTTTCAACAGTCTATTTGTTCCACAGAATAGAAAGGGAAGGAACACCACCAAACTGATCCCACAAAGTCATTATTATGCTGGTATCAAAGACATGAAAAAAAGAAAGAAAAAATTTGAGAAATTTTCCTGAGGAACTTATATACAAAACTTCAAATTTCTGAAATTCAAATCTCTTAAACTTAAGAACACATTAAGAAGATCTTACATCATGACCAAGTGAGCTTCATCCAATGGATGCAGGGGGTGGTACAACATATACAAATCATTAAGTGCACATCATATAAGTAAACTTTAGGACAGCAATTATATCATCACCTCAAAAGATGCAGATATCTGACTAACTTCAGCTCGCCTTCATGGTAAAAAGTCCTGGAGACATTAAGAATATACATGTGTGGCAAATAATCGAACCTAGAACCAATATTATAATAAACAGGCAATAGCAAAGAGCATTTTCTCTAAAATCAGGAAGGAGACAGTGATACCCACTTCACTGTTCTGATTCAATGTGGTGCTGGAAGTTTTAGCAGCAAGACAGGAGAAAGACATGAAAGGAGTAAAACCAGGAAGGGAAGAGGTCAAACTAGCCCTGTTCGCACATGGCACGAGGCTATATTTGAAAGACCATACACAATCTACCATGAAATCTTTGGATTTAATAAACACTTTTAGTGAGGTTGTAAGATACAAGATAAATATATGAAAACCAGTAGCCTTCACAAATACCCACAATGAACTCACAGAGAAAGAAATTAGGAAAAATATGCTACTTTGTCATTCAATATGGTTAGGAGTGAACAGGGTGACAAATATCAACAATGAAAACTCAAAATTGTAACAAAAGACATGAAAGAAAATGTTAGACGATGGAAAGATCATCCCACGATCCTGGTGTGATGAAGTTAGTATCATGAAAATGTCTCTATTATCAAAAGTGATTTATAGATTCGATGCAACTCACATCAAAATCTGATGTTATTCTTCAAAGAACTAGACAGAGAAAAAAACAAGGTGAGTGTCCACATGGAACTATAGAAGAACACACAGAGCCACAGCAAGCCTAAGGAGGGAAGCATGGCTGGAGGTACTGTGGTTATGACTTCAGAGCACACTACAGAGACACAGACAAACACAGCAAACAGGGAGACCAGCTGAACAGAACAAAGAAACCAACAAAGGTGTCAAAATACGCAGCTGAATAAAAAAGACAGCCTATTCAAAAGAGCGGTGACAGCCAGACTAGATATCTCCCTGTAGAACCTTCTGGATAAAAGTGGATCAAAGACCTTCATTTAAAAGCTAAAACACTAGAACTGCTACATGAAAATTTAGGGAATACATTTCAAGATAAATGGTTAGGCAAGAACCTTCTGAACAGACCTCTAATAGTGCAAGGACCATCTCCAAGAATCAACAGAGGGAACTACGTAAATCTGCAGTTTCTGCACAGCAAAGAGAAGCTACCAGCCAAGGAAACAGACAGCCTGCAGAATGGGAGAAGATCTTTAAGATCTTTAACACCTACATTCAAATAGGGGGCTCATATCAGAATTGACCGAAGGAAAACTAAAGAATTAAAAAAAAAACCCTGTCAATCAATAAATAGGTTATTAAATGAACAGTTCTCAAAAGAAGAAACACAAACAGCCAACAGGTATTTTTAAAAGTGTTCAATGTCCTTAGTCATCGGGGAATTGCAAATTAAAGCTACTGAGACACCATCTCATCCTAGTCAGAATGACTATCACCAAGCAACCTCACAAAAGATTGTCACACGGATGCAGAGAAAAAAGAAACCTTATTCATTCCTGGTGGGAGGTCAAACAAGTACGACCATTATGGAAATAAACATGGAAATTTCTCAAAATATCTGAACAAAGAAGTACTGTATGACCCAACTATAACTCTTAGCTATATATCCAAATGATTGCATATCCTACCACAGAGACACATGTACATTCATGTTAGTACCACACTACACACAATAGCAAGGAAATAGAACCAGCCTAAATGAGAAATGAATAGATAATGAAAACATGGTACATACACACAATAGGATTTTATTCGGCTATAAAATATAAAACAATGAAGCTTGCAGGAAAATCGATAGTTCTGGGGAGACAAAAGACGCATGTTCTCTTTCAAAGGCAGCCCCTAGCCTGGTTTGTGTGTGTGGTAGGGTGTACCGGTATACACATGGGTAAAGCCTCAAATGCTATAAAAGAGACCAAGACATAAATGATGAAAACAGGTGATCCGAAAAGACAGGGAGTAGGTAAAAGGGCACAGGGGACATAAAAAAAGGCAGCGACAGGGGGAGGAGTTACAAAGATGGGATTAGGAGTACTAGGGGCAGGGATATAAGGGGGTAAGAGAGACTACTAAAACGTACTTTGAAAATGCCATGATGCTATTTAATACCTTGTATGATAATTTAAAAAGTAAGATACCCCACGATTCTTAAAAAGGGGAAAGGCTGCCAAACAGTGGCAGCAGATCACAGCAAAGATGCAGAGAAATACGGCCCCTCATACTGCTAGCAACAATGTAATGAACACCAACTCTGGAAACCTTTTCATGGTTTCCTCAAACACTGGATGGGTAATCCCAAACTGAAAAGGGTCACAATCTTGCAGAGGTGAATGAGTAAGCAGGCTATGAGAATTCCACATAATACACCTTTAGTGAAAAACCCACTGGGTTAATATGTGTCATGGACAGGTGTTACTTTGTCAAACAAGCAAACAAACAAACACAATCAAATACAAGAAACCCACTCTCTCAAGGGCACCATGCCGAGTGGGTACACCTTAGCAGATCATCTGTTAACTGTTTCATTGATGATTTCTTATTGAATTGATGAAGTCACAGATACAGATAGCACATTAGCACCTGATAGTCAGGAGTACCTGAAAGTCTGGTGAGAGACTGAAGGGTTAGCTTTGGGATGCTGTGCTGATAGACCAGCTCCAAATGGCAATCACAATAGTGGTTAGCCAGGTATAATAAAATGACAGAGAACCTCCTGTACACAGAACAACTGTGGACTTCCTGGTTCTGATACCACGGCACAGCTACATAGGATACAAACACTGGGGAAGACTGAATTGGGGATACACAGAATTCTATCTCTGATTCATGCAATGCTAGCTATTAAATANCTCCCTCCCTCCCTCTTTCTCTCCTCCTTCTTTCTTATACATCCACACACAGAGAAACAGACACACACACACACAAATATTTTTTAAATGGGGAAAAAGTCAGAAACTTCAAGCTTCTGGTAAAAAATTTTTCCATTCCTTACAACAAAATTTTCTCGTCTTATGACACAAAACAAAGCCTGTCTCTTAGTTCTGTGGGAGTATTTGAAGACAGGATAAGACAATTACATGCAAAATAATCTGTCTTCATCCCAGACTCTGGGATGCCCTTCCTACTCACCTCCATTCCATTTCCGGCTTTTTCACTCTCAGACTCAGAGGTTTTATCAATTTTCTTCTCAGTGACCCACATTACCTTGCAAGTCACTGTTCCTATGTCTGTCTGGCCCTTTTACTCCCATGAACCTATCCACTTTCTCAGAAAACCTCCGACTAGGTATTGGATGACCTCTTCCTTTGCACACTGCAGACTGACTAGACTGTCCTGAAAGACAGATATTTAAAGAGAGAGCTCTTTAACCCAAATTAACATCAATCACAAAGGAACAGTATATGTGAGATTCTGACAGAAAGACCTTTTAAATTCTTCTTGCCTCCTAAGCCATTCCTTCCTTTCTCAGCAAACTTCCAGGGAAATTTGATGAAAACACACAGAAAAAAAAAATCCCAAGGAAACAAGATTTCCATCCTCGTTTTAGAGATATGCAGCTTGGTCTCAGTGAAGTACCTTCCAGGAAGACACAGGTGAACAGTGAGTCCTGAATAAGGTAACTCAGACTGCCTGATTAGAGTAATCTCTAATCCTACTTCAGAATATTTCATCAAGCCACCTTCCCCCTCCCAATCGGCGACCAGACATTTTGTCATTTTAAAAGCGGGAACAGATGGAAAGTAGCTGACCTAATTCAGCCGTCCTGATCCCACCCAGAGCTGGTTCTCCAAGTGCCATCAACCCTGAGATCAGCCATACATCTGGTGCTTTAAATAGAGCTCAAGATGCACTCTTTAAAAACTGTTAGGATTCTCTGTATGTATTTAAAAAAAAATCAGCCAGCAGAGCAGAAACTAGAAAACAAAGTGTTTACTTCAGATAACCGCGGTGCTGTCCACAACTCACCAACTCATTCATGAAAAGAGACTCTTTTCATGGCTCTGTCCCCAAGCCTGAATTCAATTCGGGTAGGGTGGATCCCCATTTCCCCAGTGTGCTGGCAAGTGGAGCAAGGTTGGCCACAGAAGCCCTCGGGAATCAGCATGATTACCTAATGTGCAACCTCCTTTCTCCTTCTCGTTCCCTGCCGGGGTAGTGTGGTTAGAACAGTCTGCTCCGTGGCTAGAGTTGGAGTCTATAAGACCACAAAAAGATGAAATAACCAGGAGGAACTACACAAATTAATTGATTAATTAAAAAGTACATTTTTTTTTTTTTTTTGCAAAAGTTTATTTTGGTTTGATGATGTGGGGTCATGCCCTGGAGCTCTGGGCTGTCTGAAACTCACTATATAGTGCAGGCTTGCCTAATTTCCAGTGATCCTCCTCAGTCTCTCTAGTGCTGAGATCAGTCTTGGGCCACCACACTCTGGGGATGTACATTTGATGACAACAAACAGAACCGCCTATTATACTACCTCAATAGAAAAGTCCTATGACCAAGAGGGGGAGCCACACAACATTCAAGAGAAGGAAAAGCAAAAGTAGGCAAGACAGAAGTAAGCAAGACAGAACTCCTGGAAGCCACCAGTCAGTATGTCAGCATTTATTAATGGTCAGCTCTCTTTTGGTTCAAAGGAATTTCTACTTCACTTTTTTTTCTTTCCTCCCCCACTTTCTGTTGCTTTTGAAGAGAGGTCTCCTGTTGCCCAGGCTGGCCTCAAACTTGTTATACAGCTGAGGCTGGTCTTGCTCCTGTGTGATGGGGCTAATAGATATGAGCCAAGCCATCTGGTCACTATTGTGCTCTTTTTCTAATAGGGTCAGTTTCATCAGGACCCAGGAGGCCTTTTGATCGGTCCTACGTTTTTACTCAGTCTGTTTTCTCCTGCTATAACAGTACTGGGAATAGGTGATCTATAAGCCGCTTAATTTGCTTCCTAGTACTGGGACTGAGAAGCTCCACCCCACGGCATTGGCACCGCCCAGCCTCTGGTAAGGGTCTTTGTGCTACCTCTCAACGCAGCGGAAGGGCAGGATGGTGAGTGTGTATATGCCAAAGAGAAAAAAACCAAGACTTCCATGCTTGCTTTCTCAGGGGATGGCAAACCCACCCACCCGAGAAATGCCCTAATCTCTCTTAGTGACTTCCACCTCAAAGCACTCCCACAGTGGCCATGACATTTCCAGGCAAGTTTCCCTACAGGCAAACTGCATCACTTACCCACGCGGTGTTTCAGCTCTATGGTTGTTTTGCCTTCTCTGGATAGTTCTGTGACTTCACACGTGTAGTTGCCCACGATGGCCTGAGTCCTACTCATTTTCAAAGAGGCATCGCCTTTCAGTAAGTCTGAGACTGAGATTTTCGCACTGCTGAAGTTGGTCTCTACGGTAGAGTTGTTTTTACTCCCGTCATAGATGAAAATGTATGTATTGTTTAACCTCCACTTCACGTACATTTCTTCGGTGCTTTGTGGCTCCACATTAATGACCTTGCAAGGGATGACGACAGTATCATTGCACTTGGTGTATTCTACAGATCTGACTTGACTAAACAGTAGTTGAGCTGAACCTGGAAAACAGACGCAAAAATATTTCATTATAATCGGTTTTATATCATTCATATATAATCTATGGTATATTGTCTTAGGCGTACTACAAACCCTTAAGGTAAAGAAAAATACTTCAATTGTTCATGTAAACAAGCAGTATAAGAACAAGGTGAAAATAGCAACAATTATTTGTATACCAGCTAACAGACTGTAAGTTTTCTTTATATAATCTTAATAATACAAGGTATACATCACTATGCATCTTGGGGATAAATTCACCAATTGTGTTGGAAAATGCAAGGTATAATATCTAGCTTTGAAAGCTCTGAAACGATCATATCTGCTTACTGATATATGTAGGAAAATACTGTCCTTACTATGGGAACATTTTGAACAAAAAGCCAAGTATTATATTTGGGCTCAACTTCTATATACTTTTTCTAGATGGAACTTGCTGAAGTGATATGAAATTTATCTCTACACTCAGGCTGCATAACCAAAAAAAAAGTATCCAGTTCTATTATACTTTAATATACAAAGCAACTCGAATGAATCAAATCTTATCTTTCCAAGAGGATGGAAAGTCTTAGAATACTAACAAGAAAAAAAAATGTTCTCAGTGGCTATTTCCCACTGCAAAAGAGAGAGCAATAGACATTTTGTATGCAAGTCTCAGAAAGGATTACACACAATTGAATGGCATTTTCCTACCCCGACATTTCATTGAATCTACAGAACAATTTTGAAATGTAGATTAACAGGTATTTCTTCCTCCAATAAACCATAAACTACTCAAAAATCCCAGAAAGAAGAAACCAGGAACAGATGCTGCTAACAAGTAGAGTATACTCATCGGGTCTTCTCAACGGCATAAGGCACCAGCAGCAGCCTTGCCACGGTGCCTGAGTGACTAGAGTAAATGGAAGGGTCACCATTTACCTCAAACAACAAGATGCAGAGATACTCCTGCTGCATTTCATAACTGGGCCATTTATCAAAGCTCTTATCCAAGGAGCTTGTTGACTTTTCTTTCAAAACCCAAAGTACCAATGAATATAAAACATTAACTTTGTTAATCTTTAATACTTCCTCCTTCTGTGTAAACTAGAAATAAAGTCAGGGGTTTAAGATGTTATTGTAACAGTGTGATTATTAATAAATACTCATCGAGTTAAATATAAAGACATATACTGGAATACAATCTGGACTGCGTTCAAGAAAACTCAGGCACAAGCCTCCTGCCTGGCACACTCTGGAGTGTAGTCTTGAGTAATTCATTTTTCTATACCATGGTTTAATAAGGAGGATCAGAGCAAATGATGGGTGGCTTCTAAGAAATGCTCCCTAAGCAACAGTCCGCCCCACAAACATGGGGCAATAGCGTAAAACTGGACACTGTGGCATCTCCTGTAATGAGCTGGATCTTCTGAGTGTTCCTGGCAATGTGCCACTGGAAGCAGCCTTGGGGCATCCACGGCTCACCTTTCCCAGTTCTCTAGACTCTTAGCCACCGAATATTAGGAAGCTCCAGGCAAAACCCGATTGTCCAATTATGTTTTCTACACCCTTGGAGTTTTGAGTTATTTCCCTGGAGAAAGAGCCATTGAGGGCAAGGAACCATATTGAATGAAGAGAGATTGGGGCGGAGGGTGAGGTCCCAACGACATAAAAAGGCAGTGTCAGAATAAACCTGTGAAGATTTTGAAACAGACAGAGAGTTCCCAGACTGTCCTGTCAGTGGGTGCTGGGGACTATCTAGCGGAACTTCTGCAATCATCACATTCTAGATGGGCTCTGCTTTTGCAGACTTCAACTTGGGTATCTACAACCGGGTAAGTTATTGGAATTGACGGTTATGAACAAGATTTGTCTTGAGAGAAATTTTGTTTTATAAACAACTTATACCTCATGGAAGAGAGTTCCAAACAACATCACTTTAAAAAAACAAAATAAAAAAAAATCTGAAGATACGGACCAATTTTATATCCATCAATAAATTGCTCCAGCGTTCTTGCTTGCCTATGTGTCTGCTCTACCAGTTTGCCTTCAAATGTGATTTTGTCTACTTTCTGATTTGTTCTTTAAGGATTAAAATTAAAACTCTGATGTATGTCCATTTTATAGCAGCATGAATCATTTCAAAGTTTAAAAATTATATTCATATGAGTCATTTCAAAATTATTCTTCTCTAGAAGACACAGTGAATGGCTCAGCATCCTTTGGGATTTTCTTCCCTCAGAAGACCCCAGGTAAGAACGAGGTGGCTGGGAAACAGCCTACAGGTTTGTAAGTTGTTATATATATTTCAAGGAACACATGGAGTACCAAGTGTATTGTGCTACTTCTTGCAGTAAAAACATCTCATAGCTGAAGCAATTTATGCAGAATAAATGCTATCAATAGAAGGGAAGAGTAAACTTGACCTGGGTAACCAAGGCAACCTTCACACTAATAACTAGTAATTAAGAGTAGCCCAAAACATCCCTCCAGATGTTAAATGCACATTCTTTATGTACAAACATGCTATTAAAAACATTAAGTAACATCATCTGATATGGGCTTTTATCTTTTGTCCATTGCCTCTCGATGGAATAGCAAAGTGAGGAAACACTAGCTAACCCAATGACCATGAATAATGAACATAAGAAAATTTACATATATAAGATATGCTGTAGCAGTCTATTCCACAGGGTAGGGAAACTTAACCAAGGATGATGCCAGAGTTACAGGCAAATTATCAAATTAGCTTTTATCAAACGCCAAAAATAGTAGATGTCACAAGTTGGATGAACACAGCGCCAACAGAAACCTCCCAACTCGGTCCTGAGCACAGCTATGCAGTGGCAGAGGTCTGGTCCATATGGTACAGTAGATGTGCTTTAACAACGTGCTGTAGTTAAAAATAACCTGGACGAAACACTGACAGGGTGGAGGGATATGACAACAGAATAGAAAAGTGATACGTATCTTGAGGTGCTGAGAATCCTCATTATGGGATAGGTAAGCAGGTGATACAATACAAGGTCACAAGTGGGGCTCTTTTGGTATGAACTAAGTGCTGTGGAGGCCAGAAGATTAACCGTCTAGCAGGTTTCTAAGAAAATTTACATTGCTACTGGAGAACAGGAGATTGTCCTACAGTCACTGCTCATCAGGGCCCCTAATGTTTTCAGACATTCCTTGTAAAATGTATTCCCTTTTAATGACTCTTAAACAGTTCGCCTCTTCTCAGCCTGTACTCTCCAGCAGTCTCTCCCCCCTCCCCCAAATTCAAATTGAGTCTTTCTGGGAAGCCAGAAGCTCTGAATACTGCCCACATAAACTTACCTGCAGCCTCAACTATCTATAGGGTTTTTTTTTTTCCCCTTCCTTCTAGAAATAAATTCCTTCACTCTGAGCTTGTTTCAATGGCTGACTGTAGTCTCTCATAGTCTATCATCTAGAGGACTCAAGCCACCAGCCTCCATACCCCCCTAATTCCATTATGGAGTGTTTGTTTTTTAAGTCATCTTTTAATAATTGTATATGCATCAAATTTAAAAAGTCCCACGCACTCGCCTCTATTTCCCAGCATCCTAAGATAATGATCTCTGTGCACTTCTTGACCTCAGTGCACTCCCAGACTCTGTGTCAACAGGACTCCACTCTAGGTCCTATTATTTTACCATCGCTACAGCTCTTGCTCAAATCACCAATGACATCAAATGAACAATCCAGTTCACACAGTTCACTTTGTCTTGACTTCTCTATAATACTTGCGCCAGAGAGCAGCTCCTCATTTTTTTTCTAACTTTGTTCTTCCACCCCTAACAATCCTTTTGATTAGAAATTTCCTCCATTCTGCTCTACCTTTTAAAATCTAGCCTTTGGAACATCCATGCTCCTAATGTGTGATGGTTTTAATGAGAATGGATCCATAGGTCCCTATGCTTGAAAGCTTGGTCCCTAGTTGGTGGAACTGTTTGGGAAGGATTAGAAGGTGTGGCCTTATTGGAGATGTGTCCCTGGGGATGGGCTTTGAAGTTTCAAAATCCCAAACCATTCTAGTTAAGTCTCTCTCTCCACCTCCTGATGTCAACATGCAAGCTCTCAGCTACTGCTCCAGAGCCATGTCTGCATACTGCCTTCATGTTCCCCATCATGGCAGCCATGCATTCATCCCCTGTAATTGTAAGCAAGCTCCAACTAAACACTTTTTAAAAATAACCTGCCTTAGTCATGGTGTCTCATCACAGCAATAGAATAGCAACTAAGACATAAGGGTTTCATGGACAGCAACCTCTTACCAAATACCCCCCCCATTACTCCAATAGTATTAACAATCAGCACATTGTCTTATTCAGCCAGACCCCGCCTTTCTCCTAAACTGTAGATTTTAATCAATGGTCTGTTAGGCATGCCAGTGAGAGTTACTACAATCCATTAAAAATTAATAATGTCCCCAAATTATATAACTATATTTCCAAATCTTCACCTCCCTATAATATTTTACAGTTATTTACTAGTCAATCAGAGTTTGACCCATAAATCAAGTTGGAGTCCTCTCTGTTTCTTTAGCCACAGAGAAATCTTGTTATGATAACCTATTCAATAGTTTCTAAACCCAAAGTCTTTTGACTGAGTGAATTATACCCTCACCCTTATCCCTTGAAGCACTGCCAGACCTCCAAACTGGCTCCCTGCCTCTGTCTTCCATACTGTTCCATGCCAATGCCGATGCATTTTCCACAGTCCTCAAAATAACTGTTCTAAATGCAAATGTGTACTCCTTTGCCCAGTGACACCCCACCACCCTCGTTCTCAAGCCAAATTCTAAGTGCATTAGTATGGAAAACAAACAAGGTTCTCTGAGATCCTTTCCGGCCTCACATCTTGTACTCTCATTTCCAGAGAAATCTCCCATCATAATGACCTTCCTGCAAACCCACGAATAGGCAAAATGCGTTCTTATAAATAGCGCTTAGGACATACTGATTCCTAGCATTGGGAGGGCCACACCCTTCTCTGGCCATAAAGTGTG